TATATATATATATATATTAAATCTTTTTATTATAATAAAAATCACATTTTAAAAATTTAGGATTAATATATTCCCCTACATTAGTTTGAGAAGTAATATCTTCATATAAATTAATAGGAACTATAGGAGAAATTCTTTTTTAAGCAATTATAGGTAAAGGAGCACTATTAATTAACTATAATTAATTATTTTTTTAAATTAATTAGATTGAAGATTATTTAAAATTGTACTATTATTATTATTGTTATATTTATTATTATTATTATTATTATTATTATTATTATTATTATTGTTTTATATTTGTTATTGTTTATTTTTTTTTTTTATAATTTTAAATTACAAGTATAATCTTAATTATTTACTTAAACTTAAAATTATGATTTTTTCAATTCTTTTTATTGGAATATATTATTATTAGAATTACTTTATTATTTATTTATAATAGACTCATTATATTACTTTTAATTTTGATTAAATTAATATATACTTTCAATTTGTCCATTAAAATAATTTTCAGTACTATTACTATTACTGTTATTAATATTAATATTATAATTGTTTATAGTATTATTATTTTTGATAATTGAATTTTTACTATTTATATAATTTTAATTAACAGATTCATTATTATTTTAATAATTTTGTGAGTTATTTTTAATTAGATCTATAATTTCTTATGAATAAATAAGTTTAGTACTTGTATTATTTTAGTTTTTTATATTATTTTCTTCATTTGAACATACAAAGTTATTTATTTACTATAATTCTTATAAACTTGGGCTTAAATTATCATTAAATACATTATACATATTATTATTAATATCATTGCTTTCTTTGAAAAGTTAATATTACATTTATTGTTATGTGTTTTTTTCTTAATTTACTTTTGCATCTAAATTAATAAAATCTGCATTTATTTAACTTATAATGTTGCTTACATTAAACTCTATTCCTCCTTATGATTATTATGATGTTACTTAATCATTTTCTTTGAAATTATTTTCGTTGCAAAGTTGATCTACTTATTACTCTAATTATCTATCAAGTAATTTTTCTAAATTATTGCTTATTTCCATCAATTCTTCCTTTTATTGTTTCTCATCTAATGAATAGTTAGATTTTGCTTCAAAAATATCATTAAAAACGCTTTACATATCATCTAATTCATTCATTTTTTTCTATATTTTCTTACTTTCAATTCCTAAGCTATTTTAATTATTATTTGAGTTGATTAGGATATCTTGTTTACTTACTAATGTACTTGAATCAATATTTGGATAGGGTTAACTGTTACAATTGCTAAATTCTTAAGGATATTTTGAATTTGTATTTTAATTAATGAATTATGAATTTATTAATTGTAATTATTGTTTTATTTGTTATTAAGGTTCGTTTTAAGATTTGTTTTTAGGATATTCATTAAAATTTTTCTGAAAAATATTTTAAATATAATTTTTATCGAACATTTTTTTTTATTGTTACTTTTTTTAATTTATTTAATTTATTTATATAAATTTATAAATATTTTAACATTTTTTAATCCAACTTTTGTATCTTTAGAATTTTACAAAGATAATTTCGAATTACTTGTTGATTAATTAATATATATATATATAATTTTTATTTTTTTAATAGACATTTACTTTATTAATATTTATTTATTTGGTTTAATCTCTGTAGATTGTGAAAAAAATTGTTATTATATATTACTTATTGGAGACTCGTATTTGGTTTGCTTATTTTTTTCTATATCTTAATTATTTAATATTTGTTTATTTTCTTGTTTAATTTAATTTATTATTTTGTTTTATGCAACTAGTTATATAGGCTATATTTGCTTAGCATTTTATAATATTTATTCATTTGGATTTGTTATCTTTTCCAATAATTTTTTTTTTATAATAGTATAATCTTTTTTAAAATAAAAATTAGTATTTATTTATTTTTTATTTCTTAATTTAAAATAGATTTAAGTTAATTATTATTTATTTTTTTTGCATTGAAAAAGTAAAATATATAATAAATCTACCAACTCCTCCAGAATTATTATCTTAAAATACTATTTTTTTTAATGTCGAATTATATACTTAAATTCTAGATCCATCTTCCAAAAATTAAGTATTATTTAAAGCTATTCTTGCTTTTTGAGCATTTTCTAAACAATCTAATTCGATGAATGCTTTCTATTATACAGATCTTTTAAATATTAATATCTAAAAAAATATTATATTTGAATTTTATATTCTTTTTAATACTCGTAAAACATCTCCAAATTTAGAAAAAGCTTTATAATATATATCGTGAGCAATTATTTGATTTTTCTCGTTATTTATTATAGTTAGAATAATAGAAGAATCTTCCATTATTTTTATTATATATATTTATTTAATACTTTTTTTATTAAATATTATGTTTTTTATATATCTATTATACAGATCTTTTAAATATTAATATCTAAAAAAATATTATATTTGAATTTTATATTCTTTTTAATACTCGTAAAACATCTCCAAATTTAGAAAAAGCTTTATAATATATATCGTGAGCAATTATTTGATTTTTCTCGTTATTTATTATAGTTAGAATAATAGAAGAATCTTCCATTATTTTTATTATATATATTTATTTAAAATACTATTATTTTATTATATAAAAATTATATTTATATTTTAAAATAATTTTTTAAATTTTTAATTTTTTTGTGAATATTTTTATAAACAATTAAATTATTTAATTTATCAATTATATATGAGTAAGAATAAAATTTATTATAATATTTTTTGTGATTATTTTATTTAATATTAATTTTATTAAATATAAATCATATCATATTAAATTAAATAAAATTAAATTTATATAAAATTATTTAAAATATAATATAAAATATTAATAATTATTTATAATTTAATTAAGCATTTTTATTTAAGTTTTATTTAGATAATGCCATTATTTAATATAGTTATTTATTTTATTAATAATTATTTTTAATAAAATTTTAACTCATTTTTATCATCAATATTCATTATAATTAAAAAATATTAAATAAATGATTTTTAATTATTAATAAAATGACGTATTCTAACACAAAAAAAATGTGTATTAACAATTATATAATCATATTCATTTATATACATATATTAATTAAAAATATAATTGTTTAATTGTTTCTTTGCGATTTTGTACTAATAAATTGATATTATATTATATATTATGTTATAAATTTAATATATTTCTAATTTCTACCAAATTTCTTTTTTTTAATTTAAAAAAAAATATTAGGAAAAAATTTTAATTTATTTTTATCCTTCTTTATTTTTTTATTTAAATATAATTTTTTAGTTTTTAAAAAATTAGAGATATAATTCAAAATTAATTAAATAATTTAAAATAAAAAAAAATAAGAATAGAGATTGAAAATAAGATATATAAGATATTTATAATATTATTATTAACTATAAAATATATATAAAATGTAAAACAAAACTATATTTATATTTTAATAATATTTTATATTAAAAAAATGTATTCAATAATAAGATACTTTTATTTTATATTTCTTTTATATTAATAATAATTTTTAAGTCAAAAAAAAACGTTTCTTTGTATCAAAACAAACCTAATAGTAAAATTATAAAAAAGTAATAAATAATAAACATATATTATCTATTTAATTTTAAAAAAATATTTTAATTTCATAAAATGTATTTTGATGATGAAAAAAATATTGAATTTTTAGAAAACAAAAGCAATTTTATTTAATTTTTAAATGATAATTCATATTGTGTGCAGAGCTCATTTTAAATATATTCTGTAAATAATCTAACATGTTATTAAAATAAAGAAATTTATAAAAAAATGTATTAAGATTTAGAAGAAAAATAAAAAGAATAGACATTAAAAAGTGGTGATAATAAAGAATCAGATATAGTAAAAAAAATCTTAATAATTTTTTTTTTTCTTTTCTTTAAAACAAATTATAAAAATCTTTAATTTAAAAATCTTAAAAAAAAAGACATTAAAAGATTAGAAAGTTATGTTTTTTCCATAAAGTTTTTTTAATACAAATATGAAAATATTGCAACATATAAATTTTTTTTAAAAAGAATAATTTGAATTAAAGTTTAAAAAGATATAAAAAAAAAAGTTATAAAAAAGCGCAAATAAGACATTTGTTAGAGCATTTTTACGTTATATCATAGATAAATAATCATATTTTAAAATAGAAAAAATATTAAAATAAATTTAAATAAATCTCTGCTACTTCTAAATAAAATAAACATGCATGAATTATAAAAAATAATTAAAATCTTAAAAAGATGTATATAGTATTTTCTTTTAATCTAGTCTGGAAAATAATTTAAGTAAATTTTTAAGAATATTGGCTTTAGATTTTTTACAAAAAGAGTCAATTTAATTCATATTTTCATCTTAAAAAATAAAAAATCACAATTAGCATATTTTATTTAGGAGAAAAATTATTATCTTATTGAGTAAATAATGAATAAAAATAAAAATTTATATGCTTATAATTAAATTAAAAATTTTAATATATTATTGAAATATTTTTTTTCACTTTTTGGCCTTGAAACTCGCCTTCTTTCATTATGTATGCATACATACTTCGATAAAATTTGCTACTAATTTATATATATTACCCTAATATGCGTTTTACTAAGTTCTAATTTATAAAGGCTTTAATTTTTACCGAAGCCATGATATTAATCTTCATAAAAATCACCTTTTTATTTTTTTTAATAAAAAACCTATAAATATATTCCCATGAGGCCAATTAAATTCATTATTTCCTTACATTTAAATATTATTCCATTATCTTTTTTAGTCTTTTTCTGTTTCCTAAATACATTAACCGAATCCTTCTATTTTATTTAAGAAAAATTCCCATTATAAATAAAGATTATGTAATGGCCTTCACTTTCTATTTTCAATTAAAAAACTATACTCTATTTATCATTTTTCCTTCATACATAGAACAAATTTATTTTTTAAAATACAAAAATAATGTAATTTCACATTAAAAAAAGAAAATTATATGAAATTTCCACTCTAAAAATTTACCTTAAAAATTTTAACAATATTTTCCTAAATATTTTTTGTTTTGTAAAAATAAAGTCTAAAAACTTTTTTTTTATAATTTTTTAATTCTCTTATATAAAAATATTTAAGCAGATTTTATTAAATAGTTATAAGTAGTAGAATTTATAAATTTAAACTTATTTATAAGTTAATATCTGTAATTAGTTAGTTTACTTTTTTATAGTAACTACTTGTTTTTCATTTATTTTTAAATGTTTAAAAACATAAATAATTTAGTTAATCCTTTTTATTGTAAAAAAATTAAATTATATATATATTTATAATTATTATTATTTTATTGGTTTTTTAAATTTATTAATCAAAATTTTATTTTATAATGAAGTTTAATAAATTTAATTATTTTATTTGTATTGAAATATTTGTTAATTTTAATGAAAATGTTTCAAATTTTTTTATTTTTAGATATTACATTGATTTAATTTTTTATGTTACTTATTAATTATGTTGTTTTTAAAGATTTTTTTTAGAGATTTTATAAGGCTTTAACTGATTTAAAAGTATTGCTTTTATTTTTAATTAAATCATATTTAATTTAAAGTTTTTTATTAAGTTTGAACATAAAAACATTCATTTCCTATAAACCATAAGCAGTAATTTATAAATAATTTATGTGTAAATTTAATAATTCTCTTTTTTTAATAACAAAAAATTTCATAAAAGGAGAATATGGATATCCAAAAAAAAACAAAGAAAACCTTATAATTCTCAATATTCAGAAGGCAAGAATAAAAAAATTGGAAATATTTCTCCAAATAGAATTATAAAAAATTCTAAGGTTCTTAAAATTTAACTTGAAGATGAATCCATTGGAAAAATAATGGGAGAAATGGCCAATATATTTTAAAATGTCTTCTCAAATTTTTTGTTACTATAGAAGTAAAACTAATAAAAATTTAATAAACTGATAGCTAATATAAATTATTGGAAAAATACTTTATTGGCTTAGATATAACTGAAATTAAGAATTAATGAGCATATTATGCAGTATGCAGCAGAACATATATAAAGTATAACCTGGTTAGATTCTTAAAGGTTTTAAATTACAAAAAATATTTTAATCATAGTTTTACAGCTTAAAAAATACAAATTAAATTTCTATTAAATTTTTATATATTTATTTTATTATTGGCAAGTTGTTTAATAATTAATTCTAAAAATAAAAAAAATAAAAAATAATATTTCATATATTTTAATAAAAAAAATAATTATTAGTATGCAAATATATAAAAAAACCTAAAATTTTATATTATTATCTTTATTATAGGATAGGTAAACATAAATAATTAAATGATATTTATGCCCTCCTTTGTAATAATAAAATTAAACATAGAAATAATATAGGATTTTAATATATATACATACTTTAAATTATTGTTGATTAAAAAAATATTATTTTTTTTTACTACAAAATTTAGATTTAAAAATTTTTAGTTTAAACGTGTTTGTATTTTTTATAAACGGAGTTCTTATATCAATAAAAAATATTCAGTGATTTCATAATCATCAACTTTTTACCAATTATAATATACTCATCTTTTCGATTCTCGATTTTTATGATTAAACATTAAAAATTCATTATGTAAATATTTTTTATAAAAACTCTTAATTTATAATTTTTGTATTTTCAGTAATTTTATTCTGTTTTTTTTAATCTTTATACAATTAATCTTCATAATCTGAAATCTGATTATATAATAATATTCTATTAGCATAAATCTTGTTTAAATATTAATATTATTATATACATTAATAATTAAAATCAAATTTTATAAAATATATAATAAAACCATAAATTTAAAAAATAATAAAAATTAGGATTAAATATTAAAAATATTTTATAACCTTATATTTAGATACTATTAGTAGGCTAAAATATCTGACTTCTGATATATAATGGTGTCCAAAAAAAAAA